GAAACTGTTGACATCAAATACAAACAGGATTAAAAACTAAGCAGATATAATGCAACCATTTTCTGCTATAATCTTTATATTTAACATTTAAAAAATCATATAATCATCTCCACCTTTAAAGCACAACAATTCTTATGTTGCAAATTGTTTAATAGACAGTAAAGTGTCAAGCAGTATTAATCGTAGCAACTGCTGAAGGAATACAAGAGCTCACAGGCGATCACAAGTTCACAACAGTCTCCAACCGGATACATTTAGCACAGAGACTTGACTGTTTGACCCCAGCAATATGGAAAAACATTTTGGCGTAAGTGCTTAATGTCTGGTTTATCATGCAGGCTGGTTTACAACATTTTAACAAATGGTTTCAATAAATTGTCTATTAACAAATCAGCAAAGTTTTACTTAACATTCCAGCACAATCTGTCATCGCTAACCCTGTAAATCTAGAGAAATCTCAATAGTTTTTCGGCTGTGTGTGTTCACTCTACATCCGTGTTTTTCAACACACTATGTCATTTTCTTCAAACACTCATTTGCATCAGAACACAAAAAAAGGAGCTAAATGAAGAAAGATGTTGATTTAACATCACTGACTCTCCAAATTTTCTCAAAAAACAGTCACACCATGAGGTGTAAATACAACAGAAAAATCACAATTTACTATTGGAATGTCTTATTAAAGGACATTTTTGTGAAGTGATATTAAAAATGTGGTATTTCAAGTAGCACAGTATTTATCATTGTAATTCATTAAACTATGCCACACATGTTAAAGTCCAGAAAAAGATAAGAATGATAGGAATATCACAGTAACTGTAACTAATGTTCTGTTTTTTTCATAATTCAGTAGGCATTTTTGACAAATATTACAGATTCTATTTTATTTTTCAGTCACTGAGGGGCCACAAACAAAGCTCCACCCTCCTTCTGACAGTCCACATGTTCAGCTCCTGGCTACAGACACATGATCATTTTTCATTAACATTATTTTATTTCTACTGCACCAAAATACGTATTTTCTTCACTACTGATCACAGATTTTAATAATGCATATTGTTTTATTCCAGAACAAATAACTAAACTCACCAGTTTCCTGAATGTTGACTTTATTGCTGTTCTCTGTGAAGAACAGTGGATCTCCTCTTCCTCCTCTGCAGTGGTAGAGACCTCCTTGTGAGACACTGATAACTCTGTCTGGTACACCATCCCTTATGAGCTGAGCTTCAGAAGAGTCTGATGTACGTTTGAACCAGTAGTATTTCCAGTCAGCAGAGCCCCTCACAGAACAGGTCAGTGTCACAGTGCCCCCTACTGGTATGATGGTATTGTGTGCTGTCAGTGTGGGTTTAGGTTTATTTGCTGTTCAGTTTAGAGAAAAAACAAAAGAACAGGTAATTAACTTGAATAGAATTTCCCTCAGAAAAATGTTTTTGCTTCAAACATAAAAACATTCACCATAACAGACTTATAAATAATCATACTCTTTTAACAATAAATCATTAAAAACTTTGCATGCAACACATGACACTCCTCAGTCAATAACACATGATCGTTACCACAAAGCTAACTAGTTACTGTTGATGTATTATTAGTGCAGTTTTTCAGTGGACACTAAATACATATGGTTAAAGTTTAAAGTAAAAAGTTCACAGCTAGTTGGTAAAAAAGGTGTCCTGTTGGTGAGTTCAGCACAGATTCAATGTGATTATTAATCACTTGGACAACAACTGTATAGTTCTCTGTTCTTCCCTGTGAATCATAATAATTAAAGAGTACAATGTATGCTGGTTCCTCTAAAGTTATTCTGTTCTCACACTACAGAGCACAATTCCTTACTGGGTTCTGCAAGTGACTTCATTATTATTGTTAGAGGGATAAATGTTTCCTGTGGCTTTATTTGTATGGATAAAAGCATAAAAGCATGACATTTTCAGTATGAATAACAGACAGTCCAACTTACGTGATACATTCAATCTGATGGCATTACTCCACTCTGTTGAGGAATATGAGTCCTTTCTACCCTTACACCTGTATTCTCCACTGTGGGACTCAGTAGCACTGATAATCCTGTATTCACTGTGTGTTGGAGACTGTGTGTTTGAGCTGGTTGTTTTCCATTCATACGTCCACTGAGTGTCCACCTCCATGGATCTCACATCTGAGAGTGATCGTCTCACCACTGAATATCTGAGGCCAGTTGGGTTCAAGGGTCAAACTGGCCCTGTTGGAAACTGTTGACATCAGAAATGTCCAGTTAGGATACAGGATTAAAAACAAACCAAGAACAAAAAAGAATACAAATGCAACTGAACAGTTCCAGTTCAAAGTACTCAAAGGTCAGAGGTAAGCTCAAAGGTCAAAGTGCCAAGCAGTGTTAATAGCTGATGCTGAAGGGATATAAGAGCTCAAGGAGAATCACACTACTCTACCAAATTCCAAAATATGAGTAGCCTTCCACAGGATGCATTTAGTAAGCTTACAGTTTTATATGTGATGCGTCTAATATCAAGATCGTCTAGATTAGGCTGATTACTGAAAATTTAACAAGCTGTTTATATCCGAGGAACAAGTCAGAACCTGTTATTTATTCAACGTTAAGATTGTAAGGTTATGCAACTAAAAATCTTAATCAAATAAAGAATTTGTCATCAATAACCCTATAAATCTAGAGAAAAAGATGTGTTATGAGCCACCTCAACTTCCTGAAATTAACAACTACTGTATTAGTAGTAGCATTGTATAACTTCTTAATTCTGAACAATCAGAAACTCTCACACCAAAGCATGTAGAACTGCAGATCCACAAAAGGATACCGTATCAGTCTCACAGTTTGTCTCACTTAGATGTGAAAAGACACACATACTTTTACCCAGGAGACTGCTGTTTGAATCCTGAGTGAAACCAAAAGTCAACCTTGATTTAGTCAAATACGATATTTTCCTAAACCCAACCAAGTAGTTGTGTTGCCTTAACCAAACTGAAACTCAGCTAGCTTTATTTTGAAAGTTTAACTGCACATTGTGTGTTTATTACAGCTAAAACATGACCCTACCCTGGTAGACCGGTGTGTTTGTGTGTGTTACAGGATTTGGTGTGATGCTGGGTTAACAAAAAGGAAACTAATAGAGGAAATATATTTATCTTTCATCATTGAAATATATCTAACAAAACAATATAGAAGCCATCCCTCCTATTTAAAATCTAGAATAAAACAAGAAAATCCATTTCAGCTACAGTAAAACATTCTGCAAAGCAATATTTAATGTCAGGGGATTACACACGATTTTTACCTGATTACAGATATGTGTGACTACAATTGTGTCTGTACACAAAAGAGATCAAACAAATAGCCCATTGTCACCATGACAAAGAAAATATTATATTTTTCAAACTTTTCTTAGAGAAGTAGAGGCACTGGGCCAACATCATGTATTCATTAGGGTTCTTTTTTTCTTCTGACAAGGGATTTCTGCGACACCGTATGCAGCTTTTGTGGAGGTAATCTTTCATAATTTGATACATTGAGCAAAATGATACGTATATGAAAGAACACAAATTCACAAAAGAAGGAAGTGATCAAGACTGAAACAGCAGGTGATAAATAGGAGATAAATAATGAATGAATAAATATTTTTAAAAAAACAGGGAAAAAACAATTGGTCACCTTCAGCATGTCCAGAGAGGAGTGTATTCAGCACTAAAATAAAGATTAAAACTTCATCAGACCATAATAAAAGGCATTTAAAATCCAACTATTGTTCAGTTAATCAACAGCATCAAACATTTCTGTGATGATATTCTGTGAGTTATTAAAGAGGTAGGAAACAAATAAAGATAAAATGTTTTTAAATGAAATATATAAAATAACAAAAGCAATACATTTAAATCCAGAGCTATAACAATATCTTAGACCAGTGGTTCTCAACCTGGGGGTGTTCCACAGACAGTTATCAGAAAAATGGGGAATATTCTAATTTCATCATTATTTCATTGATCTGACGTTTGGCCAATGAGAGACTGTAAAAGGATGACGCATCTGTTGGTTTCACACTCTTCATTGTTAATCTGCCAATCTACAGTATAGAGAGTTATGGAATAACCAAATCTTATCAGAAGGGGATCGCAAAAACATTTTATCAAATAATTGTCTGCGTCTTGATGTGTATCAATTTGTCAGTCCTTGACACCAAAAAGGTTGAGAACCACTGCCTTAGACCACATACAGTACATGCATAGTGCCAATATGTGTGTAAAACCTAGTGAAACAATAACTATTCTAGTTGAGTATTTAACACAGTCCTCCACTCTAAACCAAACCAAATCAGTAACCAAGACAAAAATACCATCATGAGAAACGTATGCCTCCGTAAGTCACAAAATCAGAAAGTCACTGATGTACTCACAGAATAACCCCAGCACACAGAGCAAAGTGTGCCCCATCTTCACATCTTCGCTCTGCTGCTCTGCTTCTGAGGAAATGTTTCTACTTTGCAATAATAAAGCAGAGAGAGAGAGAGAAGTTACATTTAACAAAAATTATGTGAGCAGAACTTTTCTCCAATGTTTCCTCATGAGGACAGCTTCATGTCTGTTCTGCCTTCCCTTTTGCACCAAACTTAAACGGAAGTGGCTTTAACCACATTTGACGTGTTCACACGTCCTGCCCACTACCTGCCCGCTTGTCTGTGCAAAGGTTCTTTCCTGGTCCCTAAAAAAATATCAAATTTAAAAATTCATAAACAATAAGTAATTATTTCAAATCTTTCAGACAGTAAAGTTGAATTTAATCATATCACACCATATTCTAACTGACATTTTATATTTTACTTTACTGTTTAATTTGCCCACTGTTCTTGCATCCAGAGAATATTGCAATAAGATTAGTGTAAGGTTACATATGTTGTGTGTATATACCATACAGAATTCAGACACCTTCACCTTTTTCACATTTTATTGTAGCCTTATGCTAAAAGACCTTTTCCTATGAAATTTAGTTTGGGTGCCTCCCATTTCACTTGATCATCTTCAAGATGATAAATTCTCAGAGACAAACATTTCCTTTGGCTCTCATGACATCATTTCATTTTCACCCAAGCTCAGTCACTTCCTCTGGGTGAAGTGTTAGCCAAACCTGAAACCAAGACTAACCAGCTCAACTTTATTTATATAGCATCTTCGTGCAGCCCAGAGCTTCACAAAGCAAAATCGAAAGCAACTAAGGCAAAAATATAAAAACAAAAGTGAGCAACAATAAATCTAAATTTAAATGTAAACTTAATGTTTAAGCTGATTTAAGCTGAAGAATGAAAATATTTTCTGTCTCTGTTGGGTGAGAAAGTCCAAGGAATCCAAAGTGTAATACCTGGTTTCATTTATCCCTTTTAAAACTGTGCTGTAGACAGGTAGACACTTCTTAATTCGAGACACAACAGGTTTTATTACCCAGGACAGTTTGAACGTTACTGGAGGTCTGAGGATCAGCACCTTGGACAGCGACAGACAGTAACACAGCAGAATGTTTTTTAAAGCAGAACAAATCTGCTCATCTGGTTCTGGTGCCTACTGCTGGTTCTCCCCGAGAAAACCTGGGCCTGAAAACCTCCTTGGTCCAAAACTAGCAGTGTAAACACCAACATTCCAGGTTATCTGAGCTCCCAGGCCAATTGAGCTAACATCAGCTACAGTTAGTGCTTACTCTGGTGATATGCTGCCCTGTATCTGTTTGGATCACGAATTCAACAGCTGGCCAACTCCTACATATTGTACCTTTAAAGAAGCATTTTTTTTTATTTTTTCCCCTGAGAAATTGGGTCATGTGCAATGCATAGATAATAACGCATAATACATAATACAGCCTGTGAGAAAGCCTGCCTAGCCCTGTTAATGAACAGTGACATCATGACTGTGTGAACTCACTCAGTATAGTGTGATAGTGAAGCAACTGACTTTTCAGTGATCATTTTTTGCTATTTAGCCTCTTAAGAGTGCTGCATATATGCCAGGCTACTGTGGGATGTGTGGCTGTCCAGTCCAAAAAGCAATTAAAAACTCAACTGCAAACTTACTGCTGGAAAAAATTGTTTAACGATGCATTGTATGATAAAAAAAAATAAAAAATAAAAAAAATAGAAACATAAAATATATTGAGGTGAAAATAAAATACTTACAGTAGCTATAAATACATTTGTAAAAAGACTGGAAAACATGTATGTAATAGAAACAAACAAAATCATCTGGATACTAAATACTAAATACTACCACTACTACTACTACAATATATATAATACAGTGCATGAATAAAATGGAAAATGGAAATGGAAAATACAAATGGAAAATATACTTCAGCAGTCTTGTGCTTTTTGTTGAAGTAAAGTACTTGAAGTCAAAAAATCCATGATATTCTTTTATATAATCTGCTAATAAATGAAGTGTACAAAATGTCAACCTTTTTTCTTTGTCCATAAAGATCTCTTTACAAACCTAGAAGCTGTACAGTAGTATGTAGCACAAAAGTACACACTAGTACAATATAATGCATGATGCAGTATGTAGGATGAAAGAGTAAAACAAATAAGCCAAAAACAATTTCATATCCGTGAGATGGAAATATATTGGAAACAAATGACACACAACCAACAATAACAATCTACGGAAGCCGAGAACGGCCATGGATTTATTTATTTTTTATGCACTGTTATATCGTGATAACGACTTATTATATCGTCTATCTCCGATATAACAAGATGCGTACATTGTATCCAACTTTTCTGACACCTAGTGGTAGTATGCAGTAACTACCCAAGGTGACTGACATTAACTGAACTGCATCAGTTAATGTCAGTCACCTTGGGTAGTTACTGCATACTACTGCTGACCTCCTGTGTGATGATTTCAATACAAACTTTGAGCATGACAGCAGTTCCTATCTTCACATCAGAGTAAACAGAGCTCTCCTCTGGTTCATGTTGCTTCCCTGTTAACATAATCAGAAAAAAAATCAATACTTTTTTGCACTTCAGGCTAAAACATCTCAAAATGATTGTCTATTTATTGCAATTATTTGGAGTACTCACCTTGTTTTCAAATGTTGTTAAGTTCAATCGAAGCATCCATCAATTAGTCTGCATTTGAAACATACATATTTTTGAGGATTTTATGTCAATCACCCGTAATCAGTCTCCTTAACTCGTGCACCATTTATCACAAATAGTCTGACTTGATCTGAGGATGG